AAATCATCCAGCACATGTATCCAACAGCAATGTTCGCAGACTCACGAACACGCAGGAGCAACAGCAGTATTGTAGAGGGGCGCGACAAATTGGATTTATTTTTTGGTTCTCCACAACATGTCGCAGGCAGCGAAAAACGTGTCACGCGGATTACCCCCTCACACTTGAGTTGTTTGGCCTGACTTGCAGCTACCCACTTCAGAACACGGCAAAACAGCCTTCGTTGCCCAACGCAGTTTCTCTCGCCCACCTCTCTCCGTTCCGGCTCATTTATCTAACTTCGTTGCTCTTGTGGGGTATGTGTGTTGGTGTTGGTGTTGGTGTTGGTGGGTTACTGCTGCACTCAGGACAACATGGACGGCATCTTCCACGTGAACGGGATTTCCGGGTTCCTTGCCGAAGACCCCGACTACGAAGCCCCTGACGACGCCACACCGGTAGGCTGTCTGTCGCTTGTCGGCTGTTGCTGGTATTATGGTTGCAGCGATATTTCGTGGCGGTGGTGGCGGTGGTACTGATGATTTAGTGTCCCGTTCGTGTTGTTCTTGTTGTTGTTGGTGCCTGCCGTCATCTTGGCCTGCGGGATGTCCGTCCGCGTGGGGTCCACAGCAGTAGGCATTAGTCTAAGTCGAGAATATCCTTGAGACTGAGCGATTTCCGCTCGTCGTTGCGATACACGAACCTTTTTCAACAATCAGGAGAACCTGCACCGGATGGTCCGTGGTGACCCCGGTGGCACCGTATTGACTCGCCGTGATGAGGCCATGTACTACACCGACTTCGCGGTGTTCGTAATCGTAGAACCCAGTACCGACAAGAACAACAACAGCAACAGCGAGGCGGCCGGCGGCTCTCAGGGACACTCTGCAGGCCTGGCTCAGGAGCAGGTGCAGCGGGAGTTGGAAGCGAGCGGCCTGGACTTGGTCACGTTCCTGAAGTCTTGTGACGACCTCCCGAACGAGCGGACCCCTGTCGAAGGGATCGTGTCCGTTACGGCAGACATCGTGTGCCCCGAGCCCAAAGTGCGCGTGTGTGTCTGGTTCGGGCATGTCAGGCTCTATTGTGTTGTAGCAGGCCGTACATGTCACTGCATGAGATCTGTTCGGTTGTGGCAGCTTCAAACACTTAGGCTGTAGCCTTTTGTCTCTATATCGGGCAGTCGGCCGGAAGGTACATATTGATGGTTGCAGTCGACAGGCAACCCTTATTGTGTTCGTGTGCTTTACTGCAAGTGATTGGGGGTTCGGTGTTTGAAAGCTAAGGAACTTGGACATGCAATCGAGTGTCGCATCTCGCCCGATTATGTATCCCCCCCCGGATACTCCGTATACTATACTACTGTTGCCGAAAGTGTAGAACCACAAGGTAGCCCATCCTGTAGAAAAAGCCGATAGGGAGCCTGGCCGCTGACGTGATTTTCGACCAACCGGTCCTGATAAAGGTGAATGCGCGAACACAACGCACAGCCGATAAGCTTGTATCCATTCCAAGAAAATAATTGTAGAATATCCATACAGCGGAGGAGCACCGTTAACCTCTATCACCACCACCAACCGTGGAGCAGGTGATCGAGATCACAGAGGGAGGCGGCAATGTCCTGTTCGTCGCTGCCAACACCCTGTACACCAAGAACGACCGCTTCAACGTCCGGAAGGGCGAAAAGATAAAGTTCCGGGCCCCGGCTCTCACGTTCGAGAGGGACCAGGTAGCCGTTGAGCGCTGTTTTGGTCTGGCATATCTCCCTATGCTTCTTACGGCCGTTTTAAACGGACCGACTTTTTTGTCAAAATTTTCGACATTTGTCTTTCAAAAACTTGGAACCTGTGTGCAGTCATTTCAAACGTGTGACATGGACTTGTGCAACTTGTGTCAAAAAAAATGACGCCGTCCGTGAGTTGTAGCGCTCACTTCGAGACAACACACACGACACAACACAAACCGCGGAAAACACGACACCATGGATACCGACATGGATATCACGACCAGCCAGCGTGGCCGGCAGACCAAAACCCCGGCGAAATTCCAGCAGACGGGCTCTCTCGGTGCCGCCGTAGGCGGCGGAGGCTTGCTCTCCAGCAAGATAGTGCTGCTGCCTGGCATCTCGGGGAACACTCATGTTACCACGGGAGGCGCTGCCGCCATCAACACTCAGAGCGAGGGTGGAGCAGGCCGCCGGCGAGGGGTGGCAACCACTGCTCCTACCCCCCCGGGAAAAGGAAAAAACAAAGCGGCGGACGCGAAGCAACAACTGCAAGCCATCATGGCGGACCGCCGTTTTTCGGACGACGCAGCAACAGCAGACAGCATCGTCAACGTTGGCAACAGCGACGATAGCAATAGCGACAGCGACAGATGACTCACACACAACCCTAGCTGACTTTCTACGGTGAGGGGCACTCGTGGTGCAGACGCAGCAGCCCTCGCGTGCCTCTGCAAGGGTACTTTGGAAAGTGCTCCAAATACTTTGAGAGGGTTGTCAAAAAGTTGGAACGAAGTGGAGCAAAGTTTTCGCGCCCAACTTCGTTCCAAATATTTTTGAAAAAAATGGACAAACGCCTACATACAGGTTTTTGACACTTTCAAAAATTTTGACAAAAAGTCGGTCCGTTTAAAACGGCCCTTAGGAGGGTGTGGCATCTATTAGAGGGCACATGTCGCCCCTGGCATCCGTTCCTGTTTTTTTTTGCTGTGCTCGCGAGGGCCCCTCCCCTTTTTCTTCCTAACTTTGTCGATGTCGAAGTGAGACGATTGCCTCGCCCCCAGGACTTTTTCTTGCTATGTACACACGTCTCGACAACTTGTCAAATTGTCCCCAAGGCATTTGTGTTGTCTTCCTTTTGGACCGGCGATAGATATGCTTGTCCCCGCAATCGCGGAGTCCATTCATTTCGCATGTCCTTCTTGCTTGCCCTGCTTTCCTCCCTCTCCCCTGTCGTATCTTTTTTTCCCAACGCCCCTGCTCTATCCTTGTCCAACCTCTGCTGTGACTATCGCTGGGCTATTTTTGTTAGGGCGATACGGCCGAGATCTTCACCGTGGACGGAGAGTTACACCTCCGCGCCGACCAGCACCGCTTCGACGATCTGGTCAACACGAGGACGGTGAGCTCTTGTTGTTGTTGTTGTTTTTGTTGTCGTTGTCGGTGGTGCTTTGTTGTCGACCCCATTGCTACATTTCTCGTGGTCAGGGCAGACTCGGTCTAGTCTCCATCTGAATACCTCCCTCCACAATGTTATGAAACCGACCCATCGTGTGCCAGCAGTGCTGCTTGTTTACTTCTTGTCAACCAGGAACCCACCTGATTTGCCAGGAGCCTGCGTATCCTTGCGCCTATTTGGACCTGACAACGCTCAAGCATCAACTCCGTTGCGGCTCAAGGGCTTTCACTCCCACCGCTCGAACACCTACCCAAGCAGCTTCACACATGCGTACACCTTTGGCACCCTGGCCTTCGCCCGTCACGCGTAGAATAGCCATGTTCAGTTCAGCTCAGCTCCCGCCATCACACGTTCCGCAACCTATCCCTCTCACACACACTGAACCTTGTTCTCTGGTTGCAATCGCCCCAAAGCCTCACCTTCCTCCCCTGGCGCTTCCCCTTCCCCCCCCTTCGTGCCTACGCGCTGCTGGCCGTGTTACAACGTTTTTTCTACCACCCTAGAACGACCCACACGATACGAGCCGCGGTTCCCCCGATGGCGATATCATCACACACGGCGGTTCGATGCTACGCTTCAGCGAGACCTCCGTCATCGTCGATGCTGCCGCCACCGACACCGACACCTACGACAACGGTATCGACAACAACAACAACAACAACAACAACAACAACAACAACAACAACAACAACAACAACAACAACAGAGGCACTTCGCAATCCCCCACGGGACCCCTGTCTTCTGCCATGGACAACAACCACAACGTTGTCCACGGTGATGCCAACGCCGGTGTTACCGACATCACCCCCGGCCGACAGACGTACACGAATGTGATTTCCAGGACTACAGGATTCCCTGACGATGATGAATTGGACAAGCTGCCGATGAGGGACTTGGGCCCTCGCGGCGAGCTCCCGCTCGATCGAAGCCCCCTACACGGCAGAGTCTTTATCATAGGCGACATCGTCTGCCACAAGAAACAGGTGCGAGAGATCAGGTTCTTGTGTTTTTGTTGGTATACTTGTAGAATACCAAAAGAGGAGGAAAGCGTTGGCTCGGTTGTGCCTATAGGTCACGCTGTGTGATGCTCGTGTGAACGAGGTATGGTACATCAGAGGTTTTGGTTGCGGTTAAGGTGATCGAAATCAACGTAGCACGACCACAGCCCCTCCCTTCTCCACCCGTCGACTCCACATCCCACACCCAACGTTCAACATCCCGACCGAATCCCAAAGTCATCGAGGTCAGGACGGAGACGGTCATTATCTCCGACCTCCCCGGCGACCTGCACCTGAAGGGTGTCACCTTCGACGTGCGACAGGGCGCGGGGTTGTGGATCATCGTGGCCACCACCACCATCGAAGCCCTTGAGGTGATGATGAAATGTTTACCCGTGTGTTCTTATGTGTGTGTGGTTTCTGCTATTTTTGCTACACCGAACGATGTCGGATGAGGGCTTCGTAGTCCTATGTGTTGATGTACCTGGTACGGTCCTACATTGCTACATTGCCCAGAACACGCTGGACTTCCTCGCAAAATCATTCGTTTGACACCCTGTTCTCCTTGGGTCCAGCCAACACTTGTCGGGTTGGGTGAGGTTGCCACGCGGTCGTCATTGCGGTGTTTCAGTTGATGCTCGTGGTGGTGTTGATCTGCCTTATGTAGGCGAATGACGTCAGCATTTTGTTCAACGACGCCTTGCTCTCCTCGCTGTTCCTGTCGCTGTTGCTGTTTTTTGGTGATGCGCTTGATGTCGCCTTCCATTTATCCTCGGGCAGGGGGACTCCGCGGAGTTCTTCACGGTCGAACCGCAAGGGCACCTGGGGCTGTACGCCGACAGAGTTGGTCCCTTGCCCGACGATGGAATGGCGGTGAGGAACAGCGTTGTTTTCTGGTCGGTGTTGTTGTTGTTGTCTGCGATTCTTTTTGTTGTTGTTGTTGTTGTGTGTGTGTGTTTTTAGCATCGACCGTGCCAGCCCGTTGACGAATGCAAATACGTCGGTGTAACGAGCACAAGTCAAGAACGGCCGCCTTCCAGCATGCCGTAGTTTATGTTGGTCTCTTTGAAAACCTTCTGCGAGAGAAACAGCTCCAACGCTTCACGAGAGTTCAGTGTGTGTGTACGTGTTGCATTGCCACCGTCGTCACTGACGTAGCTTCGGAGAAGGAATGCTTCGGGAGGGGTCGACAGCAGTCGCAGCAACAATACATCGGCAAGCACTGCGCCCATTCAGTGATGTCTCTTCGAGCCGCAACAAGCTTGTCACGCGGTGGGGTCCGGTGCACGGAAATGTCGTGGTTTCAACGCAGATGCGGTCGGCAAGCTCGTTTCGACAGCTGGTTTTGCACTTGAACTATCGGAGAAACTGGGTGACCATTGCCAATCCCTTTGTTCCACTCTCCCTATTTATTCTTGTCTGTCTGCGTGTCTGTCTGTCTGTCTGTCTGTCTGTATGTATGTATGTATGTATGTATGTATGTATGTATGTATGTATGTATG